CCCTCCCTCTCCCCCCTCCCTCTCCCCTTCTCCCTCTCCCCTTGCTTGCCAGTGCAAGTGTGGGGGAAATTGTAAAATTGAGAGGAAAAGGAAGATTGGGGGAAAAGTAGGGGGGGTAGAAAATGCAATTAGAGATCTGGGTGTTTGTCCCTTAAAAAAAATAAGGTGACAAAGTGGTTAATGTCTTTGCAGGTTGGTGTTGATATCTGGAATCTTACTGCCACAGTCCAAATAGAGTACTAATTACTGCGAATGATGTCACCGTAGGCAGAGGAATAATCCCATCATTTAATTAGTTGAATGATTTAAACAAAGATTTGCATAGATGCACTAATCAGTTGCCATGAATTACAGAGCAGCAGTTGCCAGCGAGGGGTAACAGATCATACAGTTGGAGGGAAAAAAAAAATCTCATCTCCTTGAACATAATTAATTTAATTGTCCTCATTAGCTGTACCATTTGTTTTGATTTTATTTCTCCCTTTCCCCCACACATACTTCTCCCTCCCTCCCTCTTTTCTTCTTCTCAGTGCATTGGCTGAGAGAGAGCGCGCATCACACACACACACACACACACACACACACACACACACATACACACACACACACTGGGGTGTTTTCAGAGTGGCTGGAGCAGAGAGGTGGGGTACAGCGGCAGGAGCTGTGTGGATGGGTGAGGTGCATATGTGCCTGCTTAGACGGGCCAGAAAAGCCAAACTTAAGAAATCAGCCTATGTACAGAACAAACCAACTGAAGGGGTTCTTATTAATCTGCCGTTTGTGACTTTCGTTATTTTTCAGGTTAGTTCTGAGTTTTGTTGCCTTTTAAAGGGAGAAGAAAGCAAACTACATACTATTTTATTATAAGCCTATAAAAAAGGGAAGGGATAAAAAATAAGTTATCAAGGTTATACTATTATTCTATAGGAAGAGAAGCATAATTTAGCCTAAATATCCATGGGGGAGGAGGTGCTTTGATTTTTTTTTTTTTTTCCATCTAGAACTAGGTTAAAACTGATGGTGCTGAGAAGAAAAAAGTTTTTTTGGAGTTCAACAATTGAATCTTTCTTGGTCCTTAAAACATTTTAGCCAAGTGTCATTCAAATCTGGACTATTTTTAAGCTTGACCTTTGACAGGGCTTTAGAAAATCTGGTGAAGAGGATAAGATAGTTGCCAAAAGGAGAGGATGCCTTTGAATTTGGAAAACTTAGAAAAATAATAAACAAGGAAAAAAATAACCTGACCAGGCCTCCAAGACAAGCCTGTGAAGAAGGTACTAATGGTGAAGACGCTCAACGGCTCTTTGGCCAAGGTAGTCATGAAAACAGGTTTATGGGTTGTCTTGAGTGTGTTTCATTCTGCTATGTACGTTTTAAATGGTAAGAAAGTCAAGTAATTGCAGGAAGTGTTTAAGTGGGAGTGGGGGAGGAAGGGGGTTGAGTGTTGGTCAAGGGGGAAGAAGTTCAGTTTGCTTCTTGGGCCACTGGAGTAAGGGAGGAGGGGGAGTGTGTCATCTGCTGGATGGGGCTGGTGTGGCAGACCTGCCCGCAGAGGAGTGACTTCAGAGAGTTCATTAATGGAAGTCAGAGACCGGGGCAACTGCAGCCACCCTCAGACATTTCTGAAAGGGGAGGGCTGCGTGCTTTTCCAGTGTATACTGGTAGCAGTTTGAGTCCCTTGCTTTTATTTTAATTTCCATAATTGGCAGCTTCAGAAATGGCTTTGGAAGACAGTTTGCTGTAAATGTGGCCACCTACTCCCAAAATGCCCAGGTTATTTTAGGAATCCCACTCTTTTCCCTCGGAGCTCTTTCGCAGGACTTCTTTTGGACGGGTCCAGGAGAGAGTAGGGTCCTGCCTGAGTCGACTCCTGCAGAGGTCACTTTGTGTGCGCGGGGTTGTCCCCAGCGTTTGTGAGTAGCATATGCATGTGGTTGTGCTGACTGCACTCGCAGGCTTGTAAATTTTCACCCTGGGAAATTAGCAACAAAGCCCGATCTGTCTCGCGGCTGCTTTGCACTTTCCGAGGGCGGCTGTACTTGACTGAGCTGCAGAACAAGCACAGAGCGCGAGCGAGCGAGCGAGCGAGGGAGCCAGCGAGCGAGGGAGGGCGAGAAGGGAAGGAGGGGAGGGGTGGGGGCGAGAGGTAAATAGTCTTAAATCGGAAGGGAGCTGCTTCTCTGTGGTCTTGACAAGCGCTGCCTGGGCTCTACCGGCTCAGTAATAACTGAGTGACCTTTTCTTTGACTGTATTATGTCTGGCTGGGAAGGGATTGCATTTTGCAGCTGAGAGCCGGGGCTTCCTCCAGCTCGGCTCCTCGCGTGCCGCGGGGGTAAGTTGTCTCGAGCCAGGACGGAGGGACAGCCTCGGACAGCAGTTGCCTAAAAGGAGGACACCTGTGGCTCGGATGCGGTCAACACCATTACTTGGCGGATCCTTGAAGGACCTCATTATTTTAAACTTAAAAAAATAGAGATTCCCTCCCCCTCTTCTTTTTTTTTTTTTTTTCAAACAATGCTTCTTTTTGACCTTTCCCAAGGAGAAGCGCTACAAAGCAGCCACTGTGCTTTCTGAACCGCCTCCCCCTGTATCGCTTAATTGAGAAGGTAAGTGCGGCCACTGTGTACACACGCGTCGGCTTATTTGCGGTGTGTGTGTCTGCGGGTGCGCGCGTGCGTGTGCGGATGTGGGTATTTTTTTTTCTCCCCGAGCCTCCTAATGAGGCATAAACTGGAGCTGCAGCCCAGCTCTGCACTGCAACTTTCGCTCGGGCTGCAGCTCTGCTGAGACTGTTTTGTTTAAATCATGTGAGGCTTCATTATTTTTATGATGAGACATGAAATGCAAGCGGAAGATGTGGATGGAAGGAGGGAGAGCGGCTGCGGAACGTCTCAAGTATGACTCGAGTGGATAATAGTCAAAGTTCATGCCGAATTGCAGCATTTCCACACCCCTGACTACCCGGGACAGGGGGGCAGGGAGAGTTCGGCGTCAGGAGGTGCACGCTCTGGCCCGGCCCGTAGGCAGGGAATTGGGTCCTAGGTAGGTTCCGGAGCCCCCTTCTCCTGACTTGCTGGAATTCATGACCCCCCCACCCCCACCCCCAAGAGTTGAAATTGCAATCTTTCGGTTCTTGTTGACACTTGTGCCCCTCCCCACTCTGTCATAACACAGTGTGGTTCCCGTGAGGTGGAAAAGTGACTGTTTGGGAAGGAGGAGGTGGTTGGGGAGAAGTGGCCAGAAGAGCGAAATTCCGTGGAACCAGGTGCCTGTGTCCTAATAGGTTCAGATTCAAACTGATACAGCACATTTTTACGGGGGGCTTCCCAGATAGCTGTTATGAAATACAACTCAGATTTATGGTCTTTTTCATATTGAACATGATATGCTATGCTAACGCTGCATGTGACAGTTTAATCAAATCCATTTGTTACCACGAAGCTAAAAGGGGCCGCTGGGATTTTAGGATTATGGGCAGAGTTAGGGAAGCATGTGGCTTTGTCATTCGCCATCATTTTGCACACCGCCACACTGCGAGGGGCCCTGCGTGTGCGCCGCGTCTCGTCTGGCCGCGCTCATCCCTTCCCCCACCCCCTGCCGCCACTCCGACCGGCTCCCAAAGTAGCTTCACAATAGTCGGTCCTCAGTGGTGTAGGCTGCGCTCCAGGTCCACACTTGAGCTAAATAAGGAGACCCCCTTCTACGTCTACCTTTGGGCTTGGTGCTCAATGCGAAGCCGCTGCAACTCAGGCACGCCTAAGTCAACTCATGCAGAAAAAGGAGAAAAGTTTTGGTAAGGTTACAATCTATCATGGATGCACTTTGCCGGCGCTCGGCACTCTTGGCTGCTCAAAAGCCTCCCTGCTCTTCCGCTGCTTTTGTGTCTTTTTAAAAGATCCAAAATATTATTGTTGTAACTGCTTTGAAAGACTGCTGCTTAAACCAATTAATCTGGCTAGGTGCAACAAATACTGCTACATTCTTTGCAAATCATCCCTTGTGTGGCTGCAAAGACACAACCACAAAAGGCTGGAGCATAACTCCGCAAGGGATTCTTTGTTAGAGTGTATGTATGTTTCTTATTTTTTTTTTTTATTTTGCATGTGAGCTGCATCAAAATTGAACTCAGTCTTGCAAATCTCTTGTTGGCCTTTGCCAAGCACTAGCACTTTGCTGCCATGGTAACTGTAATTAAACTGATAAGAGTGGAAAAATGTCAGTATCTCTGAGCCTTGCAGCTGCATTGGAGAAAAAGGGAATCAAATTGGTTCCCAGCTCCATTGCTCAAAAAGGGGAGGGGGTGGTGGAAAGATGGGGAGGGGCTGTTGGGAGTTGAAGGGGCAGAACAGAGTTAAGCAGCTCCAGCGTCTGCGATCTGGGGACATCTATTTGCATTGTTGTCCCTTAGGGGGCTGCAGCCTGTAGGGATGCTCTGGGCCAGTGAACAGAGAGAAACAAGCTTTTAGGCCCAATCCAGTTCTCCAATTGGGGCTGGGGGCTGGGAGAGGATGAAGATGGGCAGGAGGAGAGAAAATCTTTTGTTTGGTACCTCTTGGCAATCGCATGGCCATGTTGGCCAAATTCTTTTAATCTGTGTCACTGCTCCCAGCTGCAGAACCTGCATTCCCATTTTAGCATCTTCCTGAGGCATCTCATCTTTGCCAAGCCCCTTTATGTATTCCCTCTAACAATTCCTTCTCCCAAATTGTTCTCTGTGAATCTTCCGACGGGGACAAGACTGGGACAAAATGTTTTCCATTCACTATGTGTAGTTAGTCCAAAAATATAAAAGACTGTGTCTAAGTGCTGCAAATCTTTTATTATGATTATTTTTTTAAACCCCTGTGTGTTGTGGAGTTGTGGTTACTTTGTTGTGTTAACTACTGAAGCTGAGACTGCGCGGATGAATGGCACAGAACAAGGGAACATAATGGAGGCAATCAACCGTTAGGCTGCCTCACAATGCAATCCAGGCAATTAAAAGCTCACCAGAGTTTAAATGAAATGGTTCTACTTATTTCTGCACACCACACTGCACAGGCTATTATTTATGTCTTTTTTTAAAATTATGATTTCCCTTAAACTGTCAAATAACTCAGAATGGCAGGGTCTCAGAGGCAATAAGAATTTCCCTCAGAACAATTTACATGCCAATCTAAAACTAGTTGAGTCCTGATGTGCTACGAGCAACTTGTGCAATGTTTCTCAGCTCCAAACGCATAACTCTACCCAGACCAGTTCTTCTGGATAGTGAGAGGAGGCTGCTGACTGCTTTATGCCTTTTAGGTTTATGGCAAAGCAGTGACTACAAAATAGTTCTTTTTCTATGACTAGTAAAGTTGTAGAGTATCGAAAAGATTTCCTTTTCAAGAGAAATGTGAGGATATTCTCTCAAAGAAAGCACCAGAATGGAGTGTAAAATATCAAACTCCTTTTATGTCCAAGGCCAAACAGAATGCAAGAGTTTCAAATATTAATTGGCCTCTGAGTGCTAAATTAAAATGTCAACACAACAAAAACATTTTGTGAAGACAAGCAGGGTAGTGTTGCTTGTGCCAAACGTTGGTATTCCCTGTCTTGGTTGCAAAGCATTTTGAATACAGAGAGCTGACCTTCCACACTTGATGGTAGTAACAGAACTTGGAAATATGGCTTAGCTACAACTAAAAAGGATTTTTAAAAAATTTAGCTTTATGATATGAAATTAATAGCCTTATAAATTGGATAATTGGAATAGCCACTCACAACATAACTCTAGATGTTTACAGTAATGAAATCCAGCGTGTCACTTGGAAATCAAAATTTCTCCCTCCCCATAGGTGTATGGTTAAGAGACATTAGGGTATGATCTGTACTGTAATTAATGGGATTCATTCCTTGTGGAACCTTGTTAGAAGGCAGTAACTAGTTCTGATCAAAGAAACTTCATTTGTCAGAAGTTCTAGAGATTGAGATTTAGCAGAGCTATCAAGGGTCATGATTAATCTACACTAGACCCAGGGCTCCTTCAAAGAAAAGGAACAGAAAACAGGCTATAGGAATACCACCTGCTCTTCTGTTCAAAGCCAGCTGCTAGCTTGCAGCTCCGGAGACCACAGCTATGCGTATGATGCAGAGAGAACAGGCACCCTGCTTTCCTCCGTACCATTGCCTACTCCATTACTCTAACCAGAGAATTTATCTTCTAGTGGAACTTCAGCATAATAACAGTATTTTGTGTAATTCATGTATTATTTGTAGCTAGGAAAGTTATCCATCTGTGATGATATGGTGCCTTGATGTCTCTTATCAGTGCGATTAAAAAAAAGAAAAAGATAGTGAAAGTAACAGAGGCGAAGTCTTCATCGCAAGGCATCAGAGAAAACTGGAGAAGGTTTAACTCTTTTGGAGTGGGGAAGTACACAGAAAATGCTCAAGATTATAGCTTGGCATTTTTCCTGAGACTTTCAAGTGCATGCACAATTGGTGTTTTGTGTCCTGTGTCCAAGTTTAAAACTTTATGCCTGGGAGAGGAAGCGTGATATAGCAGTGGGATCTGTGGACTGTAGGAAGGCCACCAAGGCTAGTGTGTAATTGTTGTTCAGCTTTGAGCAAGTCCCTTAACCTCTCTTATGCATCTGTATCATAATTTGTAAAATGAAAGAATTTGAAATTGATGGATGTCTATAGTATTTTGTAGTGTTTAAAAGGAGTTATTTCATAAATACAAAGCTCTGATTAGCTGCTCCAGCATTTTTTTTAAAGCTGGGTGTTGGACACTTAGGAAAAGATAAGAAACTCAGGAGAATATACTTTCAAATCTCAGTCAAGGTGTAAAATCCACAGAAACCAGCTAGACTCCATATTTAGGACAAAAATATATGTCCAAAATATAGAAATGCCCCAGTTCTAGTATAGCGTTATGTAATATATATATATAAAATACATTTATGTATATGTAATTTTGCTTTCTGTTGTTTTTCTTCTATAAAATAAATAAGTGCATGTTTATGGTAATAAATTACATAATCCAATACTTCAGTTTTATATGAGTATGTAAAGAGTATATGGTTAGATAATCTGCCTTTAATAAGGACACTGAATGATGCTTGTGAGTATAAGTACTTTTTTTTTATTTTAACCTAATAAATACTTTGAAGTATCAAGGGCACAAAAGGAGGTATTGGGATGCAAACAGGTCATATAGGATTGGTGAGATTTGGGGGTAACTGTACTGTATACTGAAGTAGAAGCACCTTTGCTGCTAAGTAAGTATAGTGTAATCTCATGAGGGTGTACTCTGCTTCCATCATCAAGCACATATTATGTGAAATTTTTAATCAATTAAGAAAACATAAATTTTGACTTCTATAATCTGCATGGACTAGTTTGTTAAATAGCCTTCTTTTAAGATTGTTAGCCATTTACTCACAGTTTATCCTTAAAGAACCATGTTACATAGAGAATGGAGATGAAATTATTTAATGTGATTTAACTTCATGTATATAATGTCATCTCACTGTGTACAAGATGAATTCATTACTTTCACGACTTTGTACATATGACTTTAGAAGTGATTTAATAAGGACTTTATAAAGGTTGAGCTTTTCTGTTTTCAAAATGTAGTTGGATTTTAGTACAGCCCTGAAAAAGAAAGTCTCACACTCCTTGAATAAGGCAGTATTAAATATTTAATTTGTTTGAGGTCTTTTGACATCTTTCAATTCTTCTTGTAGTCCCAGCTTTCTTTTTTTTTTTTTTTTTTTTTTTTGGTTTTTGTCTTCTCTTAGGTATACAAATGCTCTCAGTCCAGCCAGACACCAAGCCGAAAGGTTGTGCTGGCTGCAACCGAAAGATCAAGGACCGGTATCTTCTAAAGGCACTGGACAAATACTGGCATGAGGACTGCCTGAAGTGTGCCTGCTGTGACTGTCGTTTGGGAGAGGTGGGCTCCACCCTGTACACTAAAGCTAATCTTATCCTTTGTCGCAGAGACTATCTGAGGTAGGAATTATCCTTGCACACCAGTGATGACTGGATTCCTTTTAAAATACTTTTGTAAGTGTATTTTTTGTTTCATTTCCTTACTACCAGCCTATATTCCTGAAAGATGTTGACCTGTCAGCCTTCAGAATGTTACCAGGTGCCTGTTAAACAAATTATTGCTTAAGCAGTGGTCAAAAACACACACTGTCTAAAGTGTTTCGATTTGGCTTACCTAGGTGTTCCTATTTAGGGATATGGGTTATTCCATTGCCTGTGTTGAAACTGCCAGTTTGTGTCAAGGACGTATTTGGTAGAAATCAGCATACAAAAATTTTATTAGACCGTAAACTTTGAAGGTGCGCTGAGCATAACACAAAATATTCAACTACCTTTCTGTTTCAGATTTGTCAATCTCTTTGAAATTCTCAACTGTTATTTATTAGCACATTTATTATAAAATTTTGAAAACTTCCCCCAAGTGTGAATGCATCTTTCCCCCATGGCATTTCAAGTGATCACAGCAAGATAATCAGCAAGCATTAACAGCCTCAGACTTGCCAGTAGCTCTATGGAAATTAACAAAGTAAAGATCTCCATTACTGTGGGAAAATGACAGCCACTCTCCTCACTGCAAACATCAGAACAGTTTCAGGACAAGGCAGATGTTCTTGCTTATGAATCCATGAAGCTGATTAAAACTTGCTTCCCAACATTTAGTACTCCACACGTGAACTTCTATTTAAGAAAAATTGTTTTGCTTTCCAGGGAACTTTGTGACTTGATTCAGCTACAAATTACTTATGTTAATAAAGTAGGATTTATCACATTAAAGAAATGATATATGGCATCATTTGGGTTTTCATATTTGATATAATTAATCATTTTTCTAGTCAACAGTAAGTGATTTATTTTGAAATTTTTTTCCTCTTACGACACAAAATTTATCAATCAGCGATAATTCCTTAAAAATCTTGGTCATTTGGGATGGGACTTTCTATGAAATTTAGTGCTTCTTACTATATAGTTCAGTTATTTTTCAGTTTGATTTAATCGTGATATATAAATATATACTGTTTGTTTAGTGGTAGTTACAAAAAGGTGAATCCAGTACTGTTTTTCAAATTCTAGAGTTCCCCTCCTTAGGACTGCATCGTCTGACAGCCTCCTGACTAAGCATGACCACTTGTTACTCCTTCTCTGTGTCCGTAAGTGCAAGAAATACACGCAAGGTGCCAACCATGGGCAGTGACCCTCTATAGCCAGGACTCCCTCATTGTGGTGGCACAACTAGTCAGAATTAATTTATTGCGTGAATTCCTTTAGAGCTGCAGTCTTTAAATGCTTCTTTTTGAAACAAAAATTTCTCCTCCGCTCACTGTGAGTTAGAGCCTCCTTTCTACATAGAGCATTTGTTTTGCTTTAAATGACTTAACATTGCTTCCTAGTTTCGCTTTATCTTTACTAACCAATAAGTCATAGCTTTTTGACTCCTTTTAACTTTTACATTTGCTCACAACTGCAGGATCTCAAGCAGACTTAACATTACAGCAATTCCAAAACACGAAATTTATATAGCCTGGGAAGGTTAAGGTATCCTAATAAGCAGAAAGGCAGAATTAAATAAAATTTAAAGAAAATTGTTTAAAATATCTGGATTTTTTAAATCAAAAATATTAATTCATCAATGAAATACCTGTGTCCTGAGTGAAGTTGTTGTACAGTGGTGTCAATATACTAGCAAGCAAGAAAGTAACCTTAGACTTGTTTTGTTTTATTCTCTCTTATGGTAATAAAATATGATGTTCAATTGCTATTTGGTATCTCACATAAGTGTTTCGGTGACGGGAATTTTCAAAAACATTCTTATATCAGAAATTCTTATCTCTAAGAGTCTATATGTTGCTCTTCGTGATATAACTTTTAGTTGATTTCTGATAGGCTCAAACTTTTAATGCTTGTTAACATATTTAAAATTCATACTTTTTCAAATATAACCCTGCTCCTGACTGCCTATATATCCATTTCTCAGAGTATAATTTCCTCTCAAATCGGTCATTACCACATAAATGACTAGTTGTCATGTTAACAGCCTAAAAGTTAACATATCAAACTAACTTGTTCACAGCAAGCTTACCCCTTATTTAAACTGAAGGTTTGTTGTATATAATGTGACTTCTTTGGCAACTAGTAATTCATTGACACTTGAAAATTGCAGAAGTGAAATGAGAAGTTAATAGGTATGTAAAAACTCTGCATTAGGCATTATATAGATTAGGCCACAGATGTGGTATTTAGTTTTATGTGGGAAGCATGTAGTTCAATGAAATAGTTTGGATGTTCACTAACAGATGTCTCTGACTGGCACACTGAAATACTCTGATTCCATATGTTAACTGGACAAATGCAATCAAGCCAATTTGATTTACAAATTAGTTTCTTTGAATGTATATAAGTAGTCATTCAAAACGTTTATTGAATGCCTTCTATGTGAAAGACATAATTTTAGGTAATGGATGAAATAACTAATAGAAAAAGGGAGGGTGTACCTAAAACTGTTACTATCTGATTATTCAATAATTATACAAAATATGCAATATGACCAGTGAACAAGTACTATTCTGTGGCTCTTTCCCTCCTAGTTCTGCACATTTCCTTTCTGTGTTTTGCACAGCCAATGCATAACCATTTAAATCCTATTAAAAATGGTTTGATTTGGTTTTTGGCCTTTGGATATTACATAATTTCTTTGAGGCACCAGACAAGCCATAAATAACTTACAGGTTTGTATTTCTATGTCTAAATCACTAGGCATCTAAGTAAGAATATGGAAAACGATAAAGAAAAAATAGTTTACCTGTACTAATAAGTTATGTTATGTATTATCCTGTGCTAGATGTTTTCATATCTATAAAAGAATGACACATTTTGCCTGTTGTTTTTAATTTTCTAATAACTTCTCCTTTCAAAAAAAAAGGCCCAAAACAATAAAACACTTACAATTTTGAGCAGTGAGTCTTGAAGTCCTAACGTTTTGTTTTGCGTTAGTTGGAGCCATGATAGTGATGACCTTTTTAGACAAGTTCTTTGAATGATGAATGCAAGAGTTTAAATCCTAAAATATTTTCTCATGGGTTAGCAAAACTATGATTGCAGTAAATGTTTTATTTCTCTCAGATTTTTTTCTCCTTTGTGGCACAATTAGTGAAGTTTAAGAAAAAGAAAAGAAAATATTTTACAGTTTATATGCTGAGTTTCAAATCTGAAGGGTTCACTTTCCATAACGGCGCTGATATAATGTATCTTATTCTTCTGTAGAATATAAAATGCACAGATCTAATGAAAGAGAATTTGCCAGCTTGTAAGATTGCTCTCTGCCTTCATTCATTACATAAAGGAACAGAAGGATTGACTTTCAAAAATTTCCTCTATTAACACGCTCTCTGACTTAAACTATGAAGTCAATCTGCACATCAATATTTATATGCCAAGACATAGAAATGTATCTGTTAAAAATGTATCCAACACATTTATAACTTTATATTATTAAAAGATGAGCTTATGACCAATTAGGATGGAAGCATCTTTGTACCTTGAACTAGATGTTAGAATTAATAGACTGCCTAAAGTAGATTAACAATTATTGTATAAAAATAGCAAAGTTTAGTAATGGTGCTTACAGGGCTGTAATCACTGCCAAACTATAATCTTTATTTCAGGTTCGAAAATATGAATAAAGTAGTTAATGTATAATCAGCGTTTTAGAATTGAGATTTTGTAAGAAATTAGATCCAGGGGAAATAAAAAAATACATTCCAACTTGGAAGAAGTATATAGTATCAGAATTTATCATTCAAGCTTTGGGGTAATTGTTGCTTGTTTTTTTTTGTTAAGCCTAAACTTTTTACTTGTGGTATATTTTAAGCATTAAGTCGATACAGGCCGTATCTTGTATCTCTATGAATGGTTTCTTACCAGAGAATGTGTGTTCGAAGCTGGTTTCTGTGATATGTGCCATAGAAGCTACTTATAGCTCTTCCTATACGAGAAGCTGAAAATGTCTTATATAAATTTTAATGCAATTTGCTATTTTTATATGTGAGGATGATTTCTTTCAAATGAAACTCCCAAGAAAGAACGATGCTTCATGCTCCACCAGAGTTGCCAATTAACAAAAAGGATTTGAAGTTGCTCTGCTTACTACAAATTAATGATTTAATATAATAACTTTAAAACAGAAAACTAAAATCATCTGCTACATACAGCATTAATCTAGCTAACACTTTATTTCACACTGATCAAACTTGGTGCCTCTTAATTTTTACATAAGGTTAAATTTATATTAGTACATGAATAAGGCTTTAAAGAAATCGTGAACATGATGTTAATATTATTTTATCCAACAACTTAGTGCATCATATTTTAAATGTTAAATAAAATGTTCATTCTTTTTTCCTTTATTCTCATCTTTTTACTATTAGGCAATTGAAAATATCTTCCCTGGAAAGTAATGAATTCTTATTATTTGAAAAATAACTTTGATTTTTAATTCTGAAAGTTTAAGCTTTTATATGGAGTGGAACTCCTCTCAAATAAACTTTTCTCTACAAGCTTCACTGAAGCTTTCTTAATGCTTTATTATAGTCATAACTTTTATCATATTTAAATTGCTAAGCTAATCTTAATATTATGAAATATTTTGACATATGAGTATATTAGCCTCTGTGGTCTGTTAAAAAAAAAACTACTATATTCTTTGCAAATTTTCTTCCTTTATTTGTAGCCTTATAAAAAGTTTTAATTTTAAGTCAGTTTTTCTGTTTGTTATGGTAAAGTGTTATTGAATTCTATTTTAAGTATTTTAGACTATATACCACTCATGGGCCAGTATAAATCAGAAGAGATATTTTTATTTTGTAAAATACTTTGGGAGAGTGCCCTAGGCTTCGGAAAAAAATTGATGGATTCATACCAGACTTCCTCAGTGTCAACTTCTTTGCAGTAATCTCTTTAATATATTT